GCAGGGGACATGGAGTGTGTTAGTGTTGATCTTTTAGCCAGACAGGATTGAGAGAGTCCTGCCCTCACCCAGCTGGGCAACTTTAGGCAAACTAGTTAACCCATCTGAGTTTCATTTCTTCACCTTTAAAATGGAGATGCTTACAGTACTTAGGGAATTAGCCAGATTAAAATTAAATTAGATAATCAGTGTAAACCCTTATCCCTGTAACCTGGTAATGATGAAAGCTTTCTAAAGGAGGTAGGTTTCAGTGGCTCCTGGAATTATAGAAAGACAAGCTACAGAACAGACTGCTTTTACTCAGGACCATTTGTGCAGATGCCTGTTAGCATTTGTATCAGACCTGAGTGTATTTTCTCTCATCTAACTCCTGCCTACCTCCACAGATACTCTCAGGATGCATAGATCCTCACACACAGCTGTTCCTAACCAGCTGTGTGTTCCAGTGGCAGGTGGATAGCACAGCATGGGCAGGCCCCACAGGCAGAAGGAGCAGGGAAGCTCTGGTGACCAATGTCTAGCTAACTAGCTAGACAGTGCTGTGATGATCTGACTTGAAAATCTGGCTAGCCCGGTCTTTATATCTCTTCCTCCTGCCCCTTACAGACTCCTGGATTTCATCAATGTCTTGTCTTATGACTTACATGGAAGTTGGGAAAAGTTCACAGGACATAATAGCCCCCTGTTCTCTCTGCCTGAAGACCCCAAATCTTCGGTAAGGAAAGGAAAGATCTCAGGTGGCCCAGACATCTGTCCCCCTGAGCTCAGGCCATTGGCTCTTAGTAACAAGGAGGAGTGTGGATTCTTCTTACCTGCAGGCATATGCTATGAATTATTGGAGAAAGCTTGGGGCACCCTCAGAGAAGCTCATCATGGGGATCCCCACCTATGGACGCACCTTTCGCCTCCTCAAAGCCTCTAAGAATGGGTTGCAGGCCACAGCGATCGGACCAGCATCTCCAGGGAAGTACACCAAGCAAGCAGGCTTCTTGGCTTATTTTGAGGTGATGGGAATAGAATAGCAGTCTCTGTCTAGCAGTTAGGACTCTCCCACCCCCAGCTGGAGCACAGGCCAGGACAAGGGGCAATGGCAAGGGTGAGAGCTGTGGACAGGGCAAAGAGGGGGGCTATTAGGACAAGGGAAATCACTCTCTGGGGTATTTTCCTTTTTCTTTGGGGTAAATTATTTGAGCCCTTTGTAAGGGACGAAGGACTTGGTGGAATCTGGATGGAAGGGTTTCATTGTACCCCAAAAAAGGATCTTAAATGGTATACAGGTAAACCCTGACCTTTTGTATGGCCTAAATAAAAATCATTAATATTTGCAATATATATAGTTTCAAACATACGCAGAATTAAAAGAATAGTATAGCCTCTGTACCTCCCCCACATAGTACTCACTCAGCTTCGATCATTAATAATTCATGGCCAATTTTGTCACATCTCTGCTGACTCCCTCCCTCCCTACTACTAGATTATTTTGAAGCAATTCCAAGGCCTTCTCTACTACAGGTTCTTTCTCTCCACTCCAGCTCTACCCTCTTCATCTTCATCTCAACCAAGCTTGCTATTGAGTGGTGGAAAGAGACATGTTTCCAAGGGAATGTAACCAGCAGAGGTGACAATACTAGCCACATAAGTGTGTGGCTGTAGTGACCTGGAAAGGTCTTATGGAGCAGGTAGAGTTTGAGCGGAGTTTGAAACACAGGAAAATCCTGAGGGACAGGAATGACTAGATGGGAGGGACTTCCCAGGTAGAGGACAGCAGGTACAGAGGGACAGGTTGAGTACTTTAGGCAGTAGCGGAGGTGCTGCAAGTCTCTGCAATCTCTGCTCTGCGCTGGATGGATGAGGGTGTTTTCCTGCTAATCCAATGAAGCGTTTTTAGGAGTGTTGGCAGAGTTGAAACAATGTTCTTGAAGGGCAAAAAAGCTCTGATAGACACTTTAAAGCACCAAAAGCACAAAGGAATGACTTAGACATTAACTTCTGCAGCACAACTTGCATACCTCTACTTGTTTGCAGCATACAGTTTCTAGCACAATGCTGGGCATCCAGTAGACACTCAAATGCTTAATTGATTGTAGCAACCTAGCTCTCCCTGCCTTCAAGAACTTCAAATCTACTAGAAGTTCAGGTGCTAGTTTGAGAACTACCTCTATGGGGCAGTTTGTGCTGGGATCTAATGAACAGGAGAGACTTGTTTGTGAAAACACTTTGAATGAGATACAGGTTTGGTCAAGGATCAGGTATGTTACTCTTACGATTTTGGTACTGGCATTATATCCCTGGCTTGGTTTCTTAAGGATGTAATCCACTCTTTGGTTCCCTGTTTCCCATCATGGACAGTAGAGGAAGGAACAGGTAACAGTAGGAATTTATTCAAAATAGAGAGGAACTCATTTTTGAGTGGCCTCTCCATTCTCTCTTTGGTTTACCTTCTTCTCATTCGCTGGTGAGGGATTCTTGGGTTCTTTAACCTTGAGCAAGGAACAACTGTCTCCTGGTGCTTGTCTCCGTGGCACTTTCCAGAACTAACCTGGTGGTCCTCTTGGCAGATTTGTTCCTTTGTCTGGGGAGCGAAGAAGCACTGGATTGATTATCAGTATGTCCCATATGCCAACAAGGGGAAAGAGTGGGTTGGCTATGACGATGCCATCAGCTTCAGTTACAAGGTGAGAGCCTGGTTCTTTCATGCTCCAGCACATGGTTTCTTACTGGCTTCCATGGGGCCCTTTTCTGTGCAATGCATGCATGTGTATCGGGTGGAGGGTGAAAGGGGAGGATGATTAGACCAGGGGAGTTTCAGGCATGCCTACATTTTAGTTCTAACTGGGGTTTCATAATCCCATCTGTTTCAGTTCTCTATTCTGAAGAGAAGGAATCTAGGTTCTGAGGGAATAAATAGTTCTCTCAGTTCTTACAGCTTTTTGATGATCTTTTTGGTCTCTTCCTTTCCATTTGGACCAACTAATTTCATAGCAGATAAATAACCAACACAAAGTAGATTATGGTAAGTGCTCTGTAAATATTACTGACACGTAGCAGAGATGAGGAAGTCTGGGAGGGCTTCCTGAGGGAGGTGAGCAGGAGTAGGAGAAGACGATGACATGGGGGAAAGGCTCAGTGATGTAGAAAGCTTATAGCAGATTCAAAGAAGAATTTGAGTGAAGCAGAGGCTTTTTATAAAGGGACTTGAATGCTGGTAAAGGTGTTCGGTCTTCATCCTGTGGACATTTTAAGGCAAAATCAGGTTTCTACAGGTGGATGACCTTTAATTTTCAAACTTTTAGAACCAAACTGTGACCACCACTCTCCCTTCATGTAAGTGGTATTTTATGAAGTTGAATCTGGCAGGTTTTTATAGTGAACTAAAAGAGAACTGACATGCTCCAGCAGTTCCTAAACCTGCCTCTGTTTTGGAATCACCTGAGAGACTGGATACATGTATAAATCATGGTTCCACTCCTGAATATTCAGTAGGTCTTAGAAAAACTTTGGAAACTGTTTTAGAATGCCTCCACATGTGATCCTTCCAAATGCTAAGTTGACATTTTGGGAGCTCTTGGGTGGGGACACAGAGGTGTCCAAGCATGAGATAATGAGGGTCTGGACTAGGGTAGTTGGAAGGAACAGCAGTTGAAAGGTGAGAAATTGTCATAATGTGGCAACTGCTTGGTATTGAGACTTAAATAGAGAGAATTCACAGTTCTCCTGTTACCAGTGATGCAGAAATGCCAGGTGTCGGCTGTTTTGGGGGGCACGTTTGTGTGGGAAGCACCAGAGAGGAAGGCACTCATGAAGATTCACTGTGTAGCTCTTCTGTGCATTAACACTGGGTGAGGCCTGCTGGGGAGGAGACAGATAAAAGGGCGTGGCTTCTCCCATCTGGGATCTTGCCCTGTGGTTTGGGAATGGGAAGACACAAACAGGAAAGATTAATGACTCAATGCATTTACCCAATTGGATGGAATTAAGTCTAAGACCCGTAGGACATCAGAAAGGGGATTGACCCCGTGTGTTGGGGGAGGCCCTGGGATGAGCAGCAGAGGGTGGTCTTGCTTTGAGGTGCAGTTACTGTAACTTGCAGAACTAGGTGAGGGGACATGAAGCCAGGGTGGGGATGGTTAAGGGATTTTGACATAGAATATCACAGCTAAAAGAGACCTTGGGGATTATTGTTGGGAGATAATTATACCCTGGATTTCTCAGAGTTCCTGCACAGTTTGAGGATTTTGGGCAAAGGAAGCAGACAAGCTATACTAAAAATAGAGAGCTGCTTTCCTCTTTCCCCCAGAGCCATTTGCTTACCTTCAATGATTGCAAAAGTCCCCTTCACAGGGAGGACTTGTTTATGTTCCAAGTTCTCTCCTCTCTCTGGAGGGAGGAGGGCCACGTAGGTCAACCATTCTATATAAGCTCTGAGTCTCATAATTTCAGGGTTCGTCTCTGTAGCGCAGACCCCACTGTACATGCAGGTGAATTGAACATCTGACCTTCATCACATTGTCCTTTGGGTAATTGGGACATGGAAACTGACTCAAGGTGCTATTCTGGCTCTTTTGTTTTGTTTTGTTTTGTTTTTTTCTGTGAATAATGAATGTTCTGTCCTCTGATCCAGAGGTTTGGGGCATTGGGGTATGTGAGTATGTGTGTGTGTGCGTGTGTGTGTGTGTGTATGTGTGTGTATACACAAAACTGACAGGCTAATTTGTTAGCTTGTAAATAGGATAAGAGTCTCAGAAACTTCACAGTATCAGACTTAATGATTGGGTTCCTCCTTCCTCTTATTTTACATTTGGGGAAAGTCAACCCCTAAAAGCAGCCAATTGGCTTGGCTAAGGCACGCAGCTCTTTGGACCTGATGGAGTCTGTCTTTTCCATCAGACTTGACAGAGCGCTGGCAAAGTAATAATAAAACCTGGACTTGAATCTAAGCTCTGCCATTTAGTTGTAGTGGAGGTTTTAAAAAGTGTGGATGAAAGCCTTTATTTTCTCATCTGTGAGAAGAGTATTTTGTGCTCTACTGCATTTTATAGCATCACTGTGAGATAAGGAAATGAATTTTAAACAGTAGAGCAATATCTACAGTTTAATATGATAATAATGGTGATTAGTGAGGTGGGAAACCCAGAGGGTTAGTAGCTAACCTTTATTGAAGATTCACTATGTGCCAGGTATTGATCCAAATATCTTATGCATAGGAACTCTTTAGGAAGGCTTATGTAGCATTCCTATGTAACATAAAAACATAAGATTCACCTTTTTTTTTTTTTTTTTTTTTGAGACGGAGTCTCGCTCTGTTGCCCAGGCTGCAGTGCAGTGACCAGATCTCAACTTACTGCTGCAAGCTCCGCCTCCCGGGTTTACGCCATTCTCCTGCCTCAGCCTCCCGAGTAGCTGGGACTACAGGCGCCTGCCACGTCGCCTGGCTAGTTTTATTTTTTTGTTTTTTTGTGGGTTTTTTTGTATTTTTTTTTAGTAGAGACGGGGTTTCACCGTGTTAGCCAGGATGGTCTCGATCTCCTGACCTCGTGATCCGCCCGCCTCGGCCTCCCAAAGTGCTGGGATTACAGGCTTGAGCCACCGCGCCCGACCAAGATTCACCATTTTAACCATTTTAAAGTCTGAAATTCAGTGGCATTAAATACTTTCATATTGTTTTATAATTATCACCACTATCCATCTCCAGAACTTTTTCATCTTCTCAAATGGAAACCCTGTGCCCGTTAAACAGTAACTTCCCCTTCCTCCTTCCCCCATCCCCTGGCAGCCACCATTCTATTTTCTGTTTCTGTGAATTTGACTACTCTAGGTGCCACACATAAGTGGAGTCATACACTGTTTCTTATTTTGTGTCTGGCTTATTTCACTTAGCATAGTGTCTTCACGCTTCATCCATATTGTATGTAGTATGTGCATGTAAGAATCTTTTGGGTCTAAAAATGTTGACCATGTTATTATCCTCTTTTTTTTTTTTAAACAAATGAGGCAGTTAAGACACATAAGGGTTACATAACTTTTTCAAAATCCCATAGCTAATAAGCAGTAAAGCTAGATTCAAATGCAGGCTACACTCCTAACCACCCTGCTACATTGCTCCCTGAGGGACTATCTTCAGTTTTTTGCCATTGTACCCAGTCTGGAGAGTGCCAAGTACAGCGAGTGACTGATTGTTACTTTTCCAGGCGTGGTTTATAAGGCGAGAGCATTTTGGGGGGGCCATGGTGTGGACATTGGACATGGATGACGTCAGGGGCACTTTCTGTGGCACTGGCCCTTTCCCCCTTGTCTACGTATTGAATGATATCCTGGTGCGGGCTGGTAAGTAGCTGTGACCTAGAAGCTGGGGTTGGAAGTTGCATCACCAGGCACTGGGTGAGTCCCTTCTGCTAGATCTAAATGCCTTGGTGAGGCAACATGACATCGAGGGGAGAGAAAAAGCTTTGCCAGGCCAATATGTTTTCCAGTCTTTGCTAGGATATTTGGCCCTTATTTGACCTCTTTGAGCTTCCTTTGTTCTATCTAAAATGGGAATAATCTGTATACTCATGACGTTATTATAAGAACTAAGTGAGCTATGGAATGAAAATTCTCATAGTTAGCACTCAATATATGTTATTTCTTTCTTTCTTTCTCTTACTCTCATGGGCAAGGGCTGAGGGAATTAGGTTTCTTTTGATATCTCTTTTTGATAGTAGAGGCTACCCTGGCAATTAGGAAATGGAAACTAGCATGCAAGGGGTGAAGCATCCTTACAGATGGTTTATAATCCTCATTTTATGGGAATGCGACTGGAGCTCAGTCAGGTCAAGTCTTTAGGTGGGCCCCAATCCTATTGTCCACAGCACGCTGTCTCCAGCCTCCTTGCCCCTGGCTTTGTTCCTGGTGCCTCCTACAACATAGAGACATAAGAAGCTTCTCCTTGAGGATTCATCAAGTAATTCTTTAGCATTAGGCCTCGAGGGCAAGGTTTTGCTGATGGTGCAGTCAGAGATGTCAAAGTGAGGGCTTGAGCACAAGGAATGGGTGGGTTCCTTTCTGGGGAATGTGGCATGGAAAATGTAGCAAATCCACTGAGTGCCTGTGGGTGTCTGGGACCTGTGAACATGATGGAGTCTGGAGCAAGGCTTCTATGTGGTGGGATTTCATCTATGTCCTCAAGTAGGTATAGTATTAAATCTTCCACTTCTGAATTTTTGGAGCAGGTACTTCAGTGGTGGAGTGGTTCTAGTTCTGCCAGTAATTAATAGGATGAGAATAAAGTGGTAGGAATCTCATTCTTTTCTGTTGATTTTCTTTAGAGTTCAGTTCAACTTCTTTACCACAGTTTTGGCTGTCATCTGCTGTGAATTCTTCAAGCACTGACCCTGAAAGGCTGGCTGTGACCAAGGCATGGACCACTGATATTAAGATTTTGCCCCCAGGAGGAGAGGCTGGGGTCACTGAGATCAATGGAAAATGTGAAAATATGACTATAACCCCTAGAGTTACAACTGTGACCCCTACAAAGGAAACTGTATCCCTTGGAAAGCACACTGTAGCTCTAGGAGAGAAGACTGAGATCACTGGGGCAACGACCATGACTTCTGTGGGTCATCAGTCCATGACCCCTGGAGAGAAGGCCCTGACCCCTGTGGGTCATCAATCTGTGACCACTGGACAGAAGACCCTGATCTCTGTGGGTTATCACTCTGTGACCCCTGGGGAAAAGACCCTGACCCCTGTGGGTCATCCATCTGTGACCCCTGTGAGTCATCAGTCTGTGAGCCCTGGAGGAATGACTATGACCCCTGTCCATTTTCAGACCGAGATCCTTAGACAGAATACAATGGCCCCTAGAAGGAAGGCTGTAGCCCGTGAAAGGGTGACTGTCCCCTCCAGAAAGATATCAGTCACCCCTGAAGGGCAGACTGTGCCTTTAAGAGGGGAGTATTTGACTTCTGAGGTGGGTACTCGCCCCCAGGATGGGTAACTTGGGTCTTTAGAGGGAAGCTGAAAACAGGATGATGCTGTCCTCCAGCCCTGTCATCCAGCTCCCAGAACATACTCCTCAAGCTTTTGACAACCACTTTGTTCCTGTCTATGGGAACCATTCCTCTGTCAACTCAGTAACCCCTCAAACAAGTCCTCTTTCTCTAAAAAAAGAAATCCCAGACAACTCTGCTGTGGATCAAGGAGCCTAAGCCCTGCTGGTGTCAGAAACCAGGGAAAACCCTTGTCTTTTCTTCTAAGTGACATGCTTCCTCATCCCGGAGCAAAACAGGCATCAAAACCACAATAGGCCAATCTCTTTTCCATTAAATAAACTGTAAACGCAAGAACCCACCGAGTTCTCTGAGATTCTTTTCTTGAATTGAACTCTGCAACTCAGTTGTCAGCTTCTCCCTTTCAAGGTCATTTTCCCCACTGCTATTTTTGGAAAGATGGAGTTTGTGTCTAGTCTACAATGATGCTATCCTGTGTGGATTATGTGCTTCCTTCTTTGTTATGAGCAACTGCTCCCTTCACTGTTGGTTGGAGCCAGAGCCTCTTCTAGAACAGTTTCTGCCACCCTCAAGGGGAGCTGAGATGGGGAAGGGGAAGTTGAGTCTTCCAATTACATTCTCTCCTTGGTAAAATCCTTGTTTTCCCTGAAAAAACAACCCCATCTATTCTTTCCTCAAGAAGTGTTTGAGGAAAAGGTATAAAAAAGATACTTTAAAAATTATTTTCTTATAGTATTACCTTCATCCTTCTGCTTGGTCTCCTCTAGAAACACCAGTTCTCACACATTAAACCTTTAATCCACCCAGGGAACATTTTCCTAGGCATGACTGTCCCTCATAAGTTGCTATAGCCACTGGATCAATTTCTAGCCCTCCAATTCTAGGAGCTAGCACTACACAGAGTGGGTGTCATACCTATCATTATGTTACTTTTTCTTTTGGAAGTGTAGCCTCCAAGTCTTTAAGCTGGAGTCTGAAATTAACATGTCCATAGGATCAGGCACCTGCCATTGAAGCATGTGAAAGCACATGGCCATTTGCTTAACAGAACCTAGGTCATATATGAAACCCTTTTGCCTCCACAAAAAAATTAGCTGGGCATGATGGCTCATGTCTGTAGTCTCAGCTACTTGGGAGGCTGAGGTGGGAGGATCATCTGAGCCCTGGAGATTGAAGCTGCATTGAGCCACGATGGTGTCACTGCACTCCAGCCTGGGTGACAAAGCAAGACCCTGTCTCAAAATAAATAAATAAATAAATATTTCTGATGAATCTGTGAGTTGTTTTTCTGCCATCTTCTGCATGCACTTTATTCAAGGGCAACTTGCCTTCCAGTTTCTAATTTATCTGTGTTTTTTTCTTATTTATAAGCTTCCTTGAACTTCTCTCTTAGCTATACATTGATTGAGTCTTCTGTCTTTATCCTCTAATCCAAAGCATAGATCAATGGGTGGTCAAGATTCTTGCCTCTATTTATGATAGCTGTTAGTTGCAGATAATGGAATCCACTAAAAATTTAAGAAAAAAGACATTAGATGGTATTAGAGTTTCTGGGAGGATCAGGAAACCAGGATGGGATACTATACATCTGGAAATAACATGTCCAGGAGATATGGATGACTCACTTTTTAAGACATACTGTTAAAGGTCTCAGATTTTACCCTACTGGCAACCTAACAACCTAGCCTTTTGCCGTGTGTGTATGCACACTACAAAAAACAAGACCTGTGGGTCAGAGACAAGGGAATTTATTATTAATAGCAAAAACCAGATCAAAATTTTTTCCCAGTTCCACAAGCTACAAGGGAGATGCAATGAGGACCAAGCTGTGCCTGCACATTCAGTGGGTGCATTTCAAGAGAGAAACCCCAAGATTAGGAAACTATGATGTTATATATAAGGCTGCTGATAACCAGCTCATTTTTCCCCTCTTCTTCCTTGCCCGGAGATAGAGATTTATCTGCAGTTCTCCAGGCTATTTGCTATTTGAATATCCTTGAAAAGATAGTCCAAGGTGTGCAGAAATGCCAGATTCATGGAGAATACCTTGGAACTATTCTAGCAGTAATCCCACTGCTATCACTGCCTGCAGCTCAGCATCCGTGATGTTGGAGACTAGATACTAGAATCTCTACCTCTGCTTTCCCAGAAGACCTGGTCTCCCCTATACATTCATTACCTTTATTCTATAATTCACCTAAGTTTCCTATAGGCACATTTGCTTAGCAGAACCTAAGTCACAGATGAAACCTTTACTTCAGGGAATCTGGGAATTTTAGGTTTAGCTTGCTAGCCTATATCACAGGAAAGCATACTGGAGGGGGTTAGAATGAGTACCGAGTTGGGCAATGTTTACAGCTGTAAGGATCACTCTGGGGGTATGCAACGTACACACATACATATTAATTATTCTTCTCATACTTGAGTATCCTAACAACAATTGCAAACAGTGCTCTTATCTAATACAATGCAAAAATTCATCCTCTCAATGAAAATGTGGTGGTGGGGGCAACTGAAAATGGAATACGAGCAGTAACAAATGAACTCTACTTAACAACAATATAACTGCAATGAAGAGGTCAGGAAAGAAAAGTACTAACCTTGGTAATTTTAACTTTGGAAAGTAGGATTTTGAATTTATATGAAAAGGGTAGAGACAAAAGGAACTATACATAAATACTGTACTCTAGTTAGTGAATTTATTTCTTACTGGTGTATACATTAGCAATTCTTTTTTTTTTTAACCTTTAAAAAAGGTTAAAAAAGGTAAACTTGTGTCACAAGGGTTTGTTGTAGATTATTTCATCACCCAGGTATTAAGCCCAGTACCCAAGAGTTATCATTTTCCCCTCCTCCCACTTCTCCCACCCTCCACCCTCAAGAAAACCTCAGTTTCTGTTTTTTCCTTCTTTGTGTTTATGAGTTCTCATCACTTAGCTCCCACTTATAAGTGAGAACATGTGGTATTTCTTTATCTGTTCCTGCATTAGTTAGCTAAGGATAATAGCCTCCAGCTCCATCCATGCTCCCACAAAATACATGATCTTGTTGTTTTTTTTATGGCTGCATAATATTCCATGGTGTGTATATACTACATTTTCTTTATCCAATTTGTCATTGATGGGCATTTAGGTTGATTCCATGTCTTTGCTATTGTGAATAGTGCTGCAATGAATATTCATCTGCACATGTGCTGTATCCTTTTTTTTTTTTTTTTTGAGACAGGGTGTCACTCTGTTGCCCAGGCTGGAGTGCAGTGGCACAATCATGGCTCACTGCAGCCTCAACCTCCCCAGGCTGAGGTGATCCTCCCATCTCAGCTTTGCTGGTAACTGGGACCATAGGCATGCACCACCACATCTGCCTAATTTTTGTATTTTTTGTAGAGACGGGTATTGGCCATGTTGCCCAGGCTGGTCTCAAAGTGCTGGGATTACAGCTGAGAGCCGCCGCACCTGGCCACATGTGTCTTTATGGTAGAGTGATTTCTATTCCTCTGGGTATATACCCAGTAATGGGATTGCTGGGTTGAATGGTGGTTCTGCTTTTAGCTCTTTGAGGAATAGCCACACTGTTTTCCACATTGGTTGAACTAATATACACTCCCATTAACAGTGTCTAAGTGTTCCCTTTTCTCTGCAACCTTGCCAGCATCTGTTATTTTTTGACGTTTCAATAATAGTCATTCTGACTGGTGTGAGATGATATCTCATTCTGGTTTTGATTTGCATTTCTCTGATGACCAGTGATGTTGAAGTTTTTTTTCATATGCTTACTGGCCACATGTATGTGTTCTTTTGAAAAGTGTTTGTTCATGTCCTTTGTCCACTTTTTGATGGGGTTGTTTTTCTCTTGTAGATTTGTTTAAGTTCCTTATAGATGCTGGTTATTAGACCTTTGTGAGATGCCTCGTTTGTAAATATTTTCTCCCATTCTCTAAGTTGTCTGTTTACTCTGTTGATAGTTTCCTTTGCTGTGCAGAAGCTCCTAAGTTTAATTAGATCCCATTTGTCAACTTTTCCTTTTGTTGTGATTGTTTTTGGCATCTTTGTCATGAAATCTTTGCCCATTCCTCTGTCCAGGATAGTATTGCCTAGGTCTTCCAGAGTTTTTTAGTTTTTGGTTTTACGTTTAAGTCTTTAATCCATTTTCAGTTGATTTTTGTATATGGTGTAAGGAAGGGGTCCAGTTTCAATCTTCTGCATATGGCTAGCCAGTTCTTCTATCACCTTTTATTGAATAGGGAGTCATTTCTCCTTTGTTTTGTCAGCTTTGTTGAAGGGCATAGGTGTGCATTCTTATTTCTGGGCTCTCTGCTCTGTTCCATTGGTCTGTGTGCCTGTTTCTGTACCAGTGCAATGCTGATTTGGTTACACGCACTCCAGCCTGGGCAACAAGAGTGAAACTATATCTCAAAAAAAAAAGGTTTGATGAGAGGCTGGCAGAGCCCATGGAAACATAGTCCTTGGTGTAGAATTTCACATTTTCTCAGCCTCCCAACAACCTGCAGCTGGAGTAGGAACACTCTGGTGTAATTAGTTTCTGCAGTTCAAACACAGACTTCCAGGAACACTGGTTACAGTCAGGTCCTGTGGAAGAGCCAAGGGCAGGGCAGAGCAGGAGAAACTAAATAATTCAGGAAAGAAGTGAAGAGAATATGTCAGTTGAGTTGTGAACACCCTGGAATTAATGTAGTCTAATACTGAACACATAGCAAGGGCTTCATTAGGCTTCTCCTCATTTTGAGAAAGACAATGTCTACATTCTGCACTCGTTTTCCCTAGGACCCCATGTGAAGCTCCATGTTGATCTTCCCAATATCATCATCTACCTTTTATTTTTTTCTTTCATTACAAAGGTCTTTTTCTTCTGTTATGCAGACAGAGTGAAAGCCAGCTAATTCCAATCTATTTAGGGATTGATCCGGGTCAGGGTTGAGTTGCAGCTTTTGAAATATTCATCTACTTTTGATTTGTCCCTGTTGCTCTGGAATGACTTCTCTGGGATTTTGTTTGACAGTTGGTGGATATCTATCTCTTCTTAAGTTTTGAAAGACTTAAGGGGGTTCATCTTTCATCATAAGTTTCCAGCTCAACTCTATGACCTCCTGCCCCGTGCAGCTTCGAATCTTGAAGGGAAGACACACGTTTGAGGCGGACACTTTCCCGTGATAAGTCTTTGTTTTCTAAGCACCAAGAAAACACTGTAAGAGAATTCACTGTAAGAGAATTTGCTCTACATTTAGAAGGTTTTGGTAAGCTTACATCATCAGTAGTCTAATATTGAACACATAGCAAGGGCTTCATTAGACTTCTACTAATTTTGAGAAAGAAAACATCTAGGTTCTGTGCCTGTTTTCCCCAGGACCCTGTGTGAAGCTTCATGTTGCTCTTCCCAGTATCATCAGTTGCCTCGGACATTGTGCCTACCTCTTTCCATTCTCATTTAAAATGTGTCTGGTCTCATCATTCCATTCCTAGCTAACAGGAAAAGCTAAACTACAGGCATGATAATATTAAAAGTAACGGCAGAAACCACAATGACTTTTGCACCAACTAATAGGAGCTCTGTAATGAACTTGAACTGGCAAAATATGTGTATTTTAACAGGATGGTTTGAAGCCCCATCTATAGAGTTGGCTCATTCCATACTTATTTCTTGGGTACCTACTACATAGAAGCTACTGTGCTGAGTACAGTGTGTGATATTTCCGGAACCAGGCTCCCACAAGTCTTTAAAAATGATGAGAGGAATGACGTATCCCGGAGAACTCAGAGGCTGCTCTGCACTTTGCATACATTCTTTCATCTTAGGCTAAGGAAACACTCAGAGAGCTTATCTAGTAACATCATGCTGCAAAGAAGACTGTCCAAACGTAGGAAGAGAGCACTTAGAAAGTTTTCTGGAGTGTTAAAGGGACGAACACTGTCGTGTTAAAGGATTGAGAGGTCAGAGGCATGGAAGTGAGATGGGGGAAATCTTAAGAACAGCTGGAAAGGTGATGTTTTGGCTGCTTTGACATGGGTGGGGAAAGAGCAGTCTCAGACAAGACAAATGAACAGGTACATGTTGTCTTCACCTAGGAAAGAGCTGTGGAGAAGATGTTGGGAGCTATTTTCACATCTGACTTGGATTGTGACGCTTTTCAACCTTTCAAAACTCTGTTTTTGTAAGTTAGGAATATTGCCACCAGGTGGCAGCAGTTATCAGGGTTAAGTTTTTATATGCAGGCAGGAAAAATCTAGGAAAGATGAGAAAAGCAATTAATATACTTTTCCATAGAAATTATTTTTATTATACTTTAAGTTCTAGGGTACATGTGCACAATGTGCAGGTTTGATACATAGGTATACATGTGCCGTGTTGGTTTGCTGCACCCATCAACTTGTCATTTATGTTAGGTATTTCTCCTAATTCTATCCCTTCCCCAGCCTCCTATGTCCCAGTGTGTGATGTTCCCCACCCTGTGTCCAAGTGATCTCATTGTTCAATTCCAACCTATGAGTAAGAACATGCGATGTTTGATTTTTTGGTCCTTGTGATAGTTTGCTGAGAATGATGGTTTCCAGCTTCATCCATGTTCCTGCAAAGGACATGAACTCATCCTTTTTTATGGCTGCATAGTATTCCATGGTGTATA